TTGTATCTATAAAAGAATGTATAAACATAAAATGCCTTAAAATATATATATATATGTGTGTGTGTGTGTGTGTGTGTGTGTGTGTGTGTGTGTGTGTGTTTCATTTACACATGTTTAATTTAAGACAAACGTAATTTCAGACTGATTTTACTAACATATATTTTACTAGAGTGTTTTCTGAGCGCTTTCTCTGGACTGAGAAAATAAGCTGATCAGTATCAAAATGGGTGACCGATTGGGAATACCAAATGCTGTAAGCATAGATGTGTGAGTGGTGTAATTGATAATGGCTCGGACTTGTAAATTGGCATAAATCCACTTCTTCCTTCCCATAAATAGTATGATATATATATATATATATATATATATATATATATATATATATATATATATATATATATATATCAGTAAATCATTATTATCTCCGAAAACTCTAATATGTCCTGCCTTTGAATAACTTGCAAAAGGTCGAAAACCGTAAAAAGAACAAATCAATCATTCAGTCAATTAATCAACAATTTCTTTAGAATAACATGAATAGAGTAGGTGAGACTCGAGGACGTATTATAGACAACAGAGACTAAAAAAGGAAATTATGCTAACAATAAAACAACAGCTGGACATTTTGTATAACGCAACGAGGAAAAGGGTTAGGAAAAAATAAAACCTACAGGGAATATAGAAATAAAAAGAAACACACGAAAAACATCGATTAACCTATTTAACAAATTTGAGGAATTTTATCTACTATAAAGACAAGGAACAAGCATTTCTGATAAGACAAAAAAAAAAAAACAAGAACCATGATCATCGGAATCCCGAATGGACATTGGGCATAGAAAGAGTGAGAGAAACTCCTTGACAAGTCTAAGCAAATGGATGGTAAAATAATTAACACAACGACAAAGGGGTGTCGTATGGGTGTAAGAATTGCGGGGGAGTGATCAAAGACAGTAAACTGTGGAGAACCATTTCACCTAAGATGTGAAGCAACATAGCACATTGAAAGAGAGAGAAAACCTATTTGAGCAAAGAAATTTTTGTATAAGTGAAAATATTGCCGAGAATAACAAAGATCAGGAAGTTGTGGAGAAAAATGATCCGTTAAATAACATGACACATAAAGAAAAAAAACTACGTAACTTTTGATATCACAGACAGGATTTATGAAAGGAATGTCAAAACTTTAATTCTTGTTTCATGTTTACACAAATACTGACATATCAAATTATGGCAGGAAAAAATGAAACAAAAATGCAAGCTGTATTTTCTTATAAATACAATGGCAGCTTCTATGAATTTGTTATTCTCTTAAATCCATACTTTTATGAGATTTTTTTTCCATATACTTTTAAATATATTTTCCAGTTCTTATTGTTGTAATATCGTCTTTGACGAGGTCAGTGTTTTCACCTCGCTTTGTAAACATTTTCGAACAGACAATATTATTAAAAGCAAACATGCTACAATTTGCGAGCGATGAAACCATCTACAATTTGTTCATCGACAGAAAAGGTTAAACCATAGTAGAAAATAAACAATAAAGAAGAACAAGAAGAAGAAGGAGCAGGAAGAGCAGGAGGAAGAAGACGAGAAGAAATAGTAGTAGTAGTAGTAGTTGAAGAAGAAGAAGAAGAAGTAGAAGAAGAAGAAGGAGGAGGAGGAAGAGGAGAAGAAGTCTTAGAAGAAATAGTAGTAGTAGTAGTAGTAGTAGTAGTAGTAGAAGAAGAAGGAGGAGGAGAAGGAGGAGGAAGATAAGTCTTAGAAGAAATAGTAGTAGTGGAAGAAGAAGAAGAAGAAGAAGAAGAAGAAGAAGGAGGAAGATGAGAAAGAGGAGAAGAAGTCTTAGAAGAAATAGTAGTAGTAGTAGTAGTAGTAGAAGAAGAAGAAGAAGAAGAAGAAGAAGAAGAAGAAGAAGAAAGATGAGGAGAATTTTTTTTTTTTTTTTAAATGCTGCTTAAGCTCTTTCGCTTTAGAGATGTTTCTGTTTGTTGTGCCACCTAGGGGAAAGGGTCATTAGATCTAACGTGCCTTCTGGAATAGTCAGGCAAGTAGATGTAAATCAATAATTATACAGTTTAATAAATAAATAAAAACAAAACATCTACTCAGATATGAGGATCCATTTAAAATAACCTTTAAACACATAAATTTATATATATATATATATATATATATATATATATATATATATATATATATATATATATATATATCAGCTGGTATGTAATCCAAGGAATCCTATTAATACCATATAAAAATATTAAATAAAACTGATTCACAAATAGACCTCAATGTTTTAATTAAACAGCGCAACATATTTCATACAATAGCAATTAAGATTCCATTAGGTTAATGATCATTTTCACCTTGTAAATTGAAATAAAATTTACAAGAATTTTTCAAACTAGTCAATGGGTCATAAATTATTTAAAAAATAATTTCAATAATTTATCATCCATTGACTGGTTTCATAACTCCTTGTAAATTTTATTTCAATTTACAACAAGAAAATGATCATTAACATAATGTAATCTTAATTCCTATTGTATATATATATATATATATATATATATATATATATATATATATATATATATATCGTCATCCACAGACAGACTGTTCCGCAGCGCATCAGTGAGGCTAGACATCCGATTGATTCAAGCCTGGATCGAAACCAGACCGATTTGGCAACAGTGAGAGATTCTACCCCCAACTATCGTCGTGCGGAAGAGAAATTTTAACGTTTTTTGCTATGCGAGAGACGAGCAGAAGATAATTGGATACATATATATATATATATATATATATATATATATATATGTGTGTGTGTGTGTGTGAGAGAGAGAGAGAGATAAAAATTATATTAAAGGGAAACTTATCTTAGTTGACGCGCGGGACTTTATGTAGGCAAATGTTAAAAGAGCGGACGTAACGCTTTGGCTAAGATAAGTTTTCCTTTTGTCTTTATTCACATTGTGCTTTTACAGATATACGCCATCTTAAATTTTTGCTCACGCACACACACACACACACACACACACACACATATATATATATATATATATATATATATATATATATATGCGTGTATAATTTGTATTATTCGAGGAGTAATACTTGCGTTATGCATACGGTTCGACAATAATAATCTGTAAGACTGTTCATGACAAGAATCAGAACTTCCTATTGAAGCCTCTTGGATCTTTTCCCGGGCTATAATTTAAAAGTAAATTCTGTCTTCTCCCCCGCCTGCTTCAGTCATGAACTCAAGAGAACAAAAATGCTTTGCGGTTTCTGCTGAAAAATAAATAAAGATAGATATCCGGAATTATATTTCATTGTTTAAATAATGTAAGCAGACAATACGTAGGAAGACAGAGACAAGAGGGAGAGGAGAGAGAAATATTTAAATTCTTTCCCTGATGGATTCCGTAATTTGAAAGTTTCCTCTCTCTACAATAAGATTTCTTTTGTTCGTTTGATGACGTAAAAAAAAAACTTTCGTCATATCTAAATTAATTCATATTAAAATGTTTTGTTTTTTTTTTTTTTTTTTTTTTGCTATCTGCGCGCGAAGGCCAATTTTCAGTAATATATATATTTATCCGTACGCTCACTCGTACCGAACATGACACAAGTTCGAGATAAAAATGGAAGTTGTACGCATGTCACTTCAGCACTTCCTCTTTTGGAAACACCACAGACGCCAGGACAATGATACTAGCTAAGGATATACATTATATTAAATTTTAAAAACCTAACTGCTTGTGCCAGGTAAATACCCATCTGCTGCTTTTTTATGTGGTCGATTCAGTCAGTTAAGTGTTATACGTTATACACGCTTGGGTAAAAATATGTCATTCTTTTCATAATTGACAAGACAAAAGACTTGTCGTTTCTTTCTGCGATAGACTGGTTATAAAATAAAGCTATATGGCTTAGAGTGCTGTTCAACCCATAGTTATGGGTAGAAGAGATAGATTTGTGCCTTTCCTTAGGGCAATTGCGTGTAAGTGGATGCAATAAACTTGACTAGAATTCGAACTCGGCTCTCCGATATCGCATTCTGACCCGATAGCCATTAAACCACCGCGCACATTCATGCACGGTTTATATTCCTCAAATGTATGTATTATTTTTTATTTATTTATTATACAAACTTTCTTTTATTATTATCATAAAAACACTTAGATTATTCAGACTTATCAAACTTAAGCAACATATTTCAAAAAGTAATTCAATATATTTTTAATATTAATTGAATTTCCTTGTCTGTTCATACATCTACCCAGCCATCTATTTTTTTTTCAATATTAAACTTTTGTTTTTTTCTTCCTTTTCAAGGTGTCAGGGGATCACATTTGCCTCATTTATCTGGCGCTATCTATTCCTGGGTATGACAATAAACTAAATCCAGCAGCTAGTCCTGTGATTGGAATATTGGAAATTTGAAGAAGTATGGAATCCCCTTAATTGCTGTTCTTCACAGGCCCATCCAGAGATGGGGTGATAGTACCTGTTAGTGTCCCCAGCTATGAGCAAATTGTTAACCCTCAAAAGAAAACATTATGAAAGTATAAAAATACGTTTCTTTTATGGTAAAATTACCAGTAATACAGTTTTATATGTAAAATAAATTACCAACAATACATATTTATAGTAAAATTACCAACAATAGATTTTATAGAGAAATGAACAACAATTGATTTTATCTGTAGCTGAAGGTATACAATTGCGTTCAACATCTATTTCGTTGAAGCCATAAAATTCGTCGAAATATTTAGATTTTGGTATTAAACAAACCCTAGGGGTTGATATGGCACTAAACAAAATCAATCAAATAACCAACTGTAACGTATTATGTATATTTGTTAATATATATTAAAATAATTCTGTTATTTAACATTGAGCACTGTTTTTTCATACACTATAGTGTATACATATATGTGCTTGTATACGATCGCTTGCTCGTACATATCCTATATTTAGCCATTTGATCAGATAGATAGATAGATAGATAGATAGATAGATAGATAGATAGATAGATAGATAGATAGATAATAATGAACAGACTAGCATATATATATATATATATATATATATATATATATATATATATATATAAATATAGATAGATAGATAGATAGATAGATAGATAGATAGATAGATAGATATAGATAATGAACAGACTGGCATATATATATATATAAAGATATATATATATATATATATATATATATATATATATAAACATAGATAGATAGATAAATAGATAGATAGAAAATGAACACATTGATATAGATAGATAGATAGATAGATAGATAGATAGATAGATAGATAGATAGATAATGAACACATTCATAGATAGATAGATAGATAGATAGATAGATAGATAGATAGATAATGGTAAGATTCAGTTGCTGACTTTCTTTTAAATGGTTATTTGTCTGCAGACTTTACAATATTCGAACAGAAGCCTATGTGAATGTTACTGTTCTCCTCTATCCTATACTGAATTCTCTTATTGCAAAAGTCTGAGATCTTATTATAGTTTCCTGAAACTTTGCTTTGATAGCAAAGTGTACTTCTCCCCCTCTCCCTTCATATCACACACACTCTCCCCCCACTCTCTCTCTCTCTCTCTGTCTTTTCGCCGGCCTTGACAAGAACATCTTTGTCCATAGAGGCCCCTGATTACTTGACAGGGACATTGAAGAAAGCCGTAACACTGGGAACGCTGTCCACGTTTGAGATTCGTGTACCAATGACATGTGCCCTGAGAGATGGAAGATATGCGTTCTGTCAAATCAAAATGCGTTATGTCGCACACACCCCACACACACTCAACTAAACACACACACACAAATATGCATACATACATACTGAATCTAGGATGTATGAAAAATGTCCTTTAATATTTGTATATAGTATGTTTGGAGCATTAATCGATACAGAAATTTAAGATTAGGTTAAATTAAATTCAATATAAACTTGGCAGAATTTGTTTCTTTATTATGAGAAATCAATAAAATACAAGTATCGTTGATTCGATTCTCATTTTGTAGAAATTTCAAAATCTTACACTACATTCCATTCTAATTCTGTATAGCGAAAACTATCTGGAACAAATTCGAAAAAAAAATCAAACAAACATTTACAATTAGTAAACATTTGCAATGTTACACTATCGCAGGTTTTAACTTTAATCAAAATACATTAACACCATCAAACTGTTAGGAGTTCGATCCTCGGTGGCGTTTAATTCCTTTATTTATATATTAGACTAAATTCACCTTCGTAAATAAATAACTAATTTTCCTGTTTTTCGATTTTTTTTTTGTTCAGGCGTTTTGCAGGCAAATCCAAGAGCGAAACATCGGTAGTCATCATTTACCAAAAGGATTTGACTTGACAACATTTCCATCCAGAATATTCTGACAGATCAGAAGACCTTCGAAAAAAAATGATAGGCACATACACGCTTCCTGGGTTTAATATTCATCCGCCAGTGACATCTACTCTAGTTTTTCACCGAACAGATGATAATCATCATATTCTAGGCGAAGAAGATTATATTGCGTCTATTTAAAACTTGGCTCACGGCCGCACCATATTAAAACAACGGTTCCCGTTTACCTCGAAGTTAAGCAACGTCTAGCCGGGTCAGTACCTGGATGGGCGACCACTTGGCAATAATAGGTGAATGCATTTGAATATACTAGTGATGTAATGGAAAATGGTTCGGAATTGTTAATCGGAGAGCCGAGTTCCAATTTCCGTTGGCTTCGCTATATACACTTACGAGTGAGAAAGATATGAATTCGTCTCCTCCCCCCCAAAGCTATGGGTTAATTATTAAAACTTGCATCACTAAACCATTCTTACAATCTCGAAAATTCTTACTATCGAGAAATAATTTCTTCCTTTAAATAACTTGAACAGTATCTGTCTATATTCCTGAGATGAGGTATTATGCACACTATTTACATTATTCGGACTATTATCCTCATCTTTGTCGTCATATTTATTACAACGTTTCAGCCGTTGTACGCTCCGGCCTTCTTCAGCTGGTTGGAACGTCGAACTGAACCCTTTATTTCGCTCGCTGGGGTAGACTGTTATAGTTCCACGTGTCATGTTTAATGTCAATTATCAGTTATCAGTTATCTCCTGTTAATTACCCTCTCCAAGTTCTGCACTGCCTTAACCAGGTATTGAACTCATACTCTTTGGGTCCTGTCACTGGATCTAACCAACGCCTTTATCCACTGTGCCATGTGTCTTAGATAAGCCTTATAATATGTATCAATCAATCAAAACCTATTTTAAATTGGCTTGACTTGAAAATTAACGCTAAATTACTTGGCGTCTCATAGCAACTGTGAAATTATATCAGCTACAAAATTAAATAGACTTCGATCAAATACATCAATCAAGTAACACTTTAAAATGATCACCCGTTTAATTTTGACCTCGTCTTTTAATACTTAACTTCGATGACCAGTCTTAAACTATATTGTAATGCGAAACGAGTAATTATTCTAGCGTGACAGTCAATCCTTTAAAGAAAAGCATTTGTCTGTGCTTTATCGAACTAGAACAGAGTATCGAACTGGAACCATGACAAAACGAATAAATAATCGATAAAAAGAACGCAAGGAATATATGTGTGACAGAATAACAGAATAACAAAAAAGAACGGAGGGGGCAAACTAGTTTATAAGGAAATCGTGTTTTTCAGTCCTGAATTTTTTAAGACGCAGAAATAGAGATTTTTCTTACGGGAATGTCGGACAGTTTTGTTATCTTGAAGAGAAATCGATATTTATTTATTGTTATTTTTATTTATTTTATTTTTTGACCGCTAGGAAAAGAAAGAAAGAAAGAAAGAAAGAAAGAAAGAATGGATGAAACAAAGAAAGAATGAATGAAAGAAAGAAAAAGAAAGAAAGAAAGAACGAGTGAAAAGTGAAAGAAAGAAAGAAAAAGACAAAGAAAGAAACAAAGAAAGACAAATGAAGGAAGCGATTATAAGGTCTGTACAAATGACAATATAGAATAATAAAAAGATAAAAGAAAAATAGAGGGAACGAAAAAAAAAGAAAAAAAGAAACTAAAAAGAAATAGAGGATAACTCCTTGAAAATATGACAATATGAAGAACAATAGATCAGTAGAAAAAAGAAAGAAAGAAAGAAAGAAAGAAAGAAAGAAAGAAATGTCTAGCACGAAAAAGGGACATTGTGAGATTGAGGAATTAATACATTAAATTTTATATCATTATTTTTTTTCCCTTTTTAGCAAAGTAATCGAATGACAAGGGCCAGAAGACAGCGTTTAAATGGATCGAATGACTTGGAAGTCTTTGTAAATTATCGATGAGATTTAGAAAAATAATCAATAATTAAATAATGTCGTAGCCGGTCATGTGATTTTCACTTTTCTTTAAAAAGAATTTCTGCCGTAATATACCAGACATTAAAATGATTAACCTTCTTACAGGAATCACTAATGTCGCAAAAGACCATACGCGTAATATATATATATATATATATATATATATGACGTCACACATTATGAAATGGACAAAGTCCGACAATTATTTTAAGACATTTTTATGTTTATACATTCTTTTTATAGACAAAAATATTTGAGTAAATGCTCTGTTTATAATAAACAGTATTAAACAACATTTACCGGCCCGAATGTCCGACAAATTTTCATCTATCTATCTATCTATCTATCTATCTATCTATCTATCTATCTATCTGATAGATGAATAGATAGATAGATAGATAGATAGATAGATAGATGACGAATATTTTCTATGAAAATTTCTCGATATTCGGGCCGGTAAATGTTGTTTAATACTGTTTATTATAAACAGAGCATTTACTTAAATATTTGTATCTATAAAAAGAATGTATAAACATAAAATGTCTTTATATATACATACATATATATATATATATATATATATATATATATATATAGATAGATAGATAGATAGATAGATAAGAAAAAGTTTGCGTAGCTGCTATGTTTTAATCAATTCACACCAAGCAAGGCAATAAAGCCACGAGGACACAAGTTATTGAATTTAAAATGATATGAGAAAAATAAAAATAAACATTAGAGGAGAGAGGAAAATCAAATAACAGGAATTAAGAAGACAAACGATAACTATTGAAATTGCATTTAAATTTTTGAAAATCAAAGTTGACTCGAAAAGAAGAACCCGGAAGAGAAGTTCCACAGAAGAAACTCTTATCATATAACTTATATATACGTCTGGCCATTTCAACTGTAAACTGATGAGACCTTTCCGCCAATCTGACATTGCCTTTACATTCATAGTATAGGCACCACAGAGAAAATTAATATTTAGTCTGTGTTGTGACCAAGTAATTGGTTAAGAAATAACGAAACAAGAGGTCGCTGATAAATAGTGTATTGAACAATAAATACAACAGAAGTGTCTTACTTGGGAGTGTGTGTCGGTTGATCAGTGTTTAGTCTATCTATATCACTGTTAATATTTAACATCCCACCCATCACGAGGGATGCATGTGGGACAAAGACCCGTATAAACGGGTTCAGGGTCTGTCTACCCGGGCGAAAACTTTGCTCTTCGGCAAACCCTCATCCGAGTTCGAGAGTAACGAACAGGCTATAGAACTGTTAATATTTAAAAGCCCCCCCCCCTCACGAGGGATGTATGTGGCACATAGCCGAGTTTACCGTTGCTTCTCCAAGCCCGTAGGCTTGGCCCAAAAATATTCTCTTAGAACCCGCATGAACGGGTTCAGGGCCTATCTATCTCCCCGGACGAAATTTTGCCATTCGACAAAGCCTTGTCCGGGTTCCTCTCTGCCGTGGCAGAGAACCTGACAGTTGAAAAGGCTAGAGCACTGTTCCCTCGAGGCTTACTTTTCCTGCTAACTTTATATTAAGTGGAAGAGTCCACAATGGCCCCATTGGAGGGAAGGTACCACAACAGTTTTTAAATACAAAAATGTGGAACAAAGCCAAAAGGGAGGATAAGAGAAGGCTGGTCTGCAATCTCTGTTATCTTAAACTTAGCAAGCCACGATTACTGACCCAAACAAACGATGCTATTCCTTACATCAAAACAACACGTTCTTACATACCATTCTTACTACAGCCACCAAAATAATTCTATGATATCCTAATTAGTTTCCATATATACAATATGTCTATGGGGTGGAGAATATAAATAAATTCATCAAAGCAATAACCATGAAAATATTTATAGAAAAAGTAGAGGGAAGCTACCGTGGTGGGAAGTGACTGAAGCCTAGATACCAGATCAGAACCAATAACATTGCAGATTCTTCATATATATATATATATATATATATATATATATATATATATATATATATATGCAGGATGGATGGGTTGCGGGTTGCAGTCTGCTGAATTAGGTAGCCAGATATAAGGGGTGATGTGGTCACAGAAATTGCCTGACTGCCATGACTGGGTTCTCCTGGTTGTATGGCATGGTGCAGAGTTCCATTGCCAGCTAGGGTATTCCAACAAACACCTTCTTAACCCAGGGTAGTATTACCTCCTCAAAGCATTTGATGTAGGCCTCTGAGTTAAGTCTGAGTCTCTGTTTGAAGATGACTGGAGGCATAACGTCGCCATTACTAGTGATCACTCTAAACATCATGATGTTGACTGGATATATCATCCAACTCCTTCCGAATCCTCTACACTGTCTTCAGCTTAACACCCGAAAATGTTCGTATTGGTTACTAATGCCAAGGACTACAGCACGCCGTTTCCAAATTTTTGCTGAAGTGAATTGCATCATGGCGCTCTTTTTATCAACTGGCCCTACTATTCTGTGCAGTCGACAAAATCGAAAACAAACAACGCGCGCATGCGAAATTAATGACAAATAATTTACCCATTGCACCTTGTATATATATATATATATATATATATATATATATATATATATATATACGATTGTTAAATTACGTACGGTTTTATTGATCGATTAAATCAATCTAATAACGTTCCTATTGGTAAACAGATGAACAAACAGGTAAGTAATTGAGAGAATGATCATTATTATAAGTCAAAATGTTGGGAGAACGAATTAGAATGAAGGCGGAAGGCTGATATGAGAGCCGATCAATTAATCGATTAATTGATCGATATTGGTAGATATATGTACCTGGAATGATAAGACATTCAGATTCAGAATGATTCAGAATTCGATGGTGGCGGGCTGGAGGGTGGTGTTGTTTCAAACGGTGCTTTTCTCTGAAAATCGAACCACATGATAATTGCCTTGCTTTTCTTCCTCAGCAGAAATTGGTATTCGTTCGTTGGAGAGTTTGTCTTCGAACAGAAGGAAATATGCAAATGGAGAATTCTTTCCACCCCGTTTCCGGCATTCACGCCATTGATTCAT